CCCGAGACCGCGGAAGGAATTTCTGTTCGCAAGCTGTGTTTCATATGCACACTCGTCAATTTGGGCGAGAGACTACAAGCTTGCCAAGTCAGCGGGCATAAATTTAAAACTCTCCATACCATGAAAGGCCATGTGGCACAATGTCGGTTTGAGGAGATCAAAAACAGTGCTTGAGGTCAGCAAGTGCCCTTCACCTAACGTCTTGGCTGCATGCGGCTACTTGCAATACGAGGGACCAAAGCCGAAAAGTGGTGCAAATCTAAGCTTCAACCAGGCATGATGCCTGATTATAACAGGGTATTCGCACCGCTTGTAACTGCGTGAAATTCTGCGCTAACCTCCGAAACATTTTCTGTCAGCGTAAAAAATTAGCTAACTACTTTGTAAAACACAGTGCAATACGCACACGGCAGTCTTCGTTACGCATGGCTTACCCAATCTCTTCCGAAAACCGCAAATCAAATCCTTGGAAATAGCCGCATAAATGAATTGTGTTGACTGAAGTTTTGGTAAAATTATTCAGAAGGTTGGTGATATTGATGCTGATAATGCTGCCAGGCAAGTGCATTTTAAAACGGTCAATCTTGGTACGCTTCACGGACAACATTTGTGGTTATTTAGTTGGTCAGGTTGCATTAGGATGCGTGTAAAGTCCATGCATAATTATATTCGGAATGGCTAGACCATTGAATATTTCGAGAACATGGAAGTGCACTTGCCATGTAAATTTCACAAACAAGTGCGGTGCTTCTATGTCCGCCTAAGTTCTTCCGGTTTCTATCTGTTAGTTGTGTCGTAATATCCACTTGCATGGGGTGAATCCATCCTTACTCAAAAACAAACAAACATGAATATTACCATCACAGAGACCCATGGTCGCTGGTCCTGACCTGTGTTCAAATTTCAGCTAGCCAAAGGGGATATTCGTTCTCAAATTCCAAACTCGCAATATGTTCACCGAATGCTTACATTCAGAAATCTCTACCAAGATAGTAAATAAGATTTTCCTAATTCCCGTTAAAAGATCTGAGCTTCCTCAGGGGAAGACAAACCGGCGTTCCGGATACACGCATGCGTCGGCACGGGATAAAATTGACTCTTTGACCACGCAAATCAAACAATTTCCTCAGCAATTTTGTTGTTCTGTCGTGTTACGCCGAGTATCACAACCGGACGGCGAACGGTTGTCTTCGACGAAAAACTTAAATTCGTCATCTATAAACTTTTATCTGTGTAACGAAACCTGTCATCTGTCACTTTCAGGATTGAAATTAGTAGCGGATCCGTTTATCTGATAGGCTAACGTGAGCTTCATACGGCGTTCAGACAGGACAGACCTTGCGTTCAATCCAATCTCACCAATTAAGTGGGGGATCTCGGAGGACATCAGTCTGTTTGTCTGTTTTCGTCGATTTTCTCATCCAAAATATTACCGCTGCAAGCTGCTGTTCAGTTCGTTTAATTGAGAGTAAACACTCTTCTATGAGGCTACAAACATTTTTCCATCAGCTTTATTCGTGGCCAGACTTTCTTGATCTGATGTCCATTGGGAAAGATTCACAGACAGTATAGGGCTTCCAAAAGAGCACAAGTGCACGGGACATCGCGCTGAATAGTTCGTCCGAAGAGTAGTCACTAGTCGTTAGCCTGCCGTCTGGCTGAACGATTAAATTTGGTTTTCAAAATCAGCATCGGAAATCTCGGTAGCTACTTTTGGTGATGCCGCTCTACTTTCTGTAGTTGTTTCTTTTTAAGTGGTACGATTCAGCCGCACAACAAAACACACGTCCGAAAACCCAAATTACTTTGTCAACCGTGAAAGACTTGTACCATGCACTAGATACACCATTGCCTTTAAGCGCAGCGAATCTCTAGGGCTGCGATCGTGTCATACGTTCTCAAACTTTCGGAAATCTGGGAGGTGGTACATTTGCTCGTGACGAATAACCATATGTATCGGCAACCACGTCAGTCGTTCAG